TATTATATCGTTACTAGTAGTACAATTGTTGGCACGATATTGATCAAATACTGATCCAAGATTGGCCCAATATATCTCCAACAAGGATATATATGTATATACACATATATTGTTTAACTAATATATGTATCGCAAATAAATTGCTGGAATATAATACGATTATCGGCAATAGTATGATTAGGCCATTGAATTGATCAACATATACGAAAAACATAAATTTTAACATTAAAATTTTATAATTGTAATAAAGTAAACGTTCACTTTGTTTTTAGAGGAACAATTTGCGAAGTATGTAAAAGAACTCTTGCACGAAGGCTCGGTAAGCAAGGTTACGAATGTAGGGATTGTCAGATGAAGTGTCACAAACACTGTCATGTGAAAGTCGATACGACATGTCCTACATCCACTATCCAGAGCATCGAGTTGTGAGTATCCTAAATCTTAATATCATCATCATTGTAAATATTATGCTAAATATTCCCAAGTTTCAATGAAAATGTAGAGTCTCGTTATATTTACAATTAAATTCTCAAAAAATTTTCAAACATTATTACAATTATGTTTTATTTATTTTTATAATAAATTTACGATACATGTCCTAATACAATTTTTTTCGCGTAAGGTCCTTACTGCCAGTACTGAGCGAATAGGATAGGTAAGACTTTGAAAATTTAGAAATGAGTGAATTTGCTATAAATGGTATCGCGCATGAGGAAGTGCCTGTCCCCAATAGATTGATCGACGTGATTGATGTGTTTGATAATCTGCTTGTGAAAATGCATTAATTTTGCTTGCTCCTATTCTTTAATCGAGTTTTTCGTCCTGATTATACATACATATATGTATATCACCGAGATTGATCGAAAAGTACCTTTTGAAAACGTTATTGTCAATAAAGCACGACTGAATGCATAACATACATATGTATTATACGTGTAATTATTATCTCTATTTTTCTTATTTGAACCAGAATTCAGAGAACAATCTTACCCACTAATATTTATAATTTTTTAGGATGTGCATCAAGGTTCCGCCACTCGAACGAAAGCCTTCTATGTTACTGTGTTCGCGATAACGATGTCGCGTACTTATATGCGCGATACGTTAAATTTCGAACATGCGACTTATTTTTCAACTTAAGACAACACAACGATCGTAATTCATTTTTAAAAGTTTCATGCCTGTCACGTTTTAGTTCTTCCATATTCGAGACGAAAAGATTACATTATAGTTATACAACAAAATGTATTTTTTTTTAATTATTTTGATCAGACAAGGTGTTTCTTATAGATTTTTGGATACATCGAAAACGATGCCACACATAAGCCAAATTTCGTCAGCACGTTTCACCGGCTTTCAAAATCGAAATTTAATGTATCAAAAATGGCTTTTTTGACATTTAACATTTTTTTAATAAAAAAAAAAGATTAACATTACTTTGAAATTTTGAGCAAAAATTGTAAATGTATTGTTCATCCCCTATAAAATGTATTTCTTTAAATTTCAATACTTTATTAGCCATGTTATGAAGAATTCAAATATAGAATTTTCTTAAAGAAGCTTAACTTTTTTTTGCAAAATGATAAATATCATGAAAAAGTCATTTTCGAAAATGGCACAGAATGTTCTCATTAAATGTCAATTATTTCAAAAAACCGATGTGCTGGAGAAATTTGATTTGCAGCACTGCAAGCGTTTTCATTTCAAAATCTACAAGATGCACCTTGTTCAAAGTAATTTTGTAAGTATTTCTGTAAACTAACATAATTCAAGCTACGTATTCTTCAATATTTGACAAATACAGAAGATGATACGTTTGCATTCATATAAATGGAATTAGATCTGTTATTAGAATGCGAAAATTTGTTAAATTTAATTTTAGATACAAATTATGTTCCATAAATTATGATCCATTGTTTTGTAAAAAGTAAATGAATTATATTAAACGTTAAGATAAGAATTTATTTTGCAAAGTTAAAATCCTCTCATTATATGTTTAGAGTATCAAAGGATCAAATTTTGCAGAATAAATTATATATTATTTCTATACTGCGCTTTAATTAATCGATCTTTTACATTGATCGTCACGTCTTCTACACGATAATAATGAAGCCGATCTTGAAATCAAAATTTGAAAAATATGCTTTCGTATAATATGCAACATAAAACTTGCGAAACATATTCGCTCGTACACTTTCTGTACAGTTATACCTAGCTTCCAATAATGGTGATAATGTTAAAAGCTCGCGCTCTCTCTCCCTTCATCATTGAGCATCGACCAGCATCTAATTTCGTCCAAAAAAAAACGTTACAAAGTAAAATTCGATTATATTACTTTTTTTATTAAAATAGCTAAAACGTGCTAGAATACATATTATATTTAAATACATATTATATTTTAAGATATATATTGAAATAACTAATAAAATAATGATATTAATTAATAATATAAATATATTAATCACGATAATAATCTTTATGATAGTAATAATCATGAGAATAATGTTAATTACAATAACGAGAGATAACGGAAAGTGATGGTAAAAAATACACCCAAATTATTATATCTAGCTATGTTAAATTTGTTTAATTTTTTTCTCACATTTAGCACAAACATTTACTAACTGTGTACCTGTATATTTTTGCCTTAATATAAATACGCGTGTTTATGCAATTTACACGTTGGAAAATGACGAGGCTTATGTTGGTTACCGCATTCACGATGATGAAAAGCGAGTCATCTTAAATGAAAATTCTATCGAATGTACGTCAATGTAGACAAATTCGAATATTATATATTAGAGATTTTAATTATGTAAATGAATATATGTATAAGCGCTTTTAATGCTTTCAATTTAACTTCAATTGATAATACTAAAAACTTTCTGACAACAAGAGGAATATCCGGTATCAATTTACATCAATTTCTTATATTTTAAATATGTTGTAAATTCTTATATTTTAAATATCTTGTATGAAGATACACTTGATTAATAACATATTATGGAAATAATTCTGAAAATAATATCGAAATTCTTTCCATTTAGCGTATTCATAATTTTTAAATTGATACAATTGCGAAATATGAGTAAACTTGGATAATTAGACGCGAAAAAAATATTACAAACGTACATAGATTTTTAGAATTTCGCAGCAATTCCTCGATTACATTTTGTATAAAATAAGAGAAAAAGTTTTTTTCGGGTATTGAACAGTAGCAAGATATATAAAAGAAATATTAATTAAATTACATACTATGATGAATTATATACTCTCTCACAGATTTCTACATCTCGCTTTACATTTCGCTTTACATCTCGCTATAATAAACATCGTCGGAGTACAAAATGCAATCAAAATGCAAACAAAAATTAACGTTAAATTTAGGCAAGTTAATTTATTTCGATATACTGCGATGTATTTACACACACACATACACACACACACACACACACACAGAATGATCTTAGAAAGTAAGTTAAATTTTTGCAAAATGATTAATAATGAATGCAAATATGAATTTTGTTTTCTTATTGTATTTTTCTACTTACATTTTAAAGAATGTACACGCAGCATCGTAATTTCATTAATAATCTTGTAGGCTCACAACTAAGCTGCAATGTTAGTAAACTCTATTGACGAGTTTCGTAGTCAGCAAATAACGAATGAATGATGCTAAACAAAAAGCGGCAATTATACAAATAGACGTGTCGATCATTAATCGACTAATACATATGCATACATCGAGAAAACGCAGTATAAATCGAATTCGAATTCAATTTTTCCTGTATACATACAGGCTGTGAAATATACTCTTACAATTTTAGCAGATTTATGTCATTTATGATGGCAAGTCACGTTTTACGCGTGGGTTGTATCCACGGGTGCGAATCTATAACTTATCAAGTTTGAAAAGGCAGAAGTATAATACAGAGTTACAACACAGAGTTACTCTCTGTATATCTATCTTCATTAAAATTTCTTACACATTGTCAGAGAATTAATATTAAAGATATGTCTAAACAATATATAAATATTATTTAATATGATTCTTTATGATTCTTTATTTTATTAATTTAATATGAAAGAGAAAGAAACAAAGATAAAATCGCCGAGGGGAATATGTGTGTATTTTTTTATATATGTACATCTTCAATATTCTGCATTCGCATATATGACGTATATAAGCGCAAGAAATTTCAAAATTACTTTACTATATCAGAAATACAGTAAAATTAAAAAGAGATATTATACGTATACGGTGTATCTTTGAAGCATTCTCACGAAAAGTTTCTCTCTGAAAGAATCTATCAAAATTCTCGTCTTTTTTTTCTGCCTGTGAATTTGTTGACGATAGATTTATAGAGAATCAACTATTAAAGATTTACAATTACCAGTTACAAGTTACAATCAACTAATAATAATTACTAGAGCGCTTATAAATACTTGATAAAAGTGACACCAATTGTCAATTTTTACACAAATAACCATATATATAAAATATTTAGAAATATTGCACAGTTACATGTGCGTAATTGAAAGTACAATGACATGACTTTGCAAAGCAATTTATCGTTAAGATAATGATATACGATAGATAAATTTCTTCCTCATTCGCTTTGCAATCTCTCTTCGTACGCACATCTCTTTTCGTATTCTTTTCCATTTGTTTCCATGAGTCGCGCGTCATAAAATTATCAAAGTAACTATGGAACATTGACGCTAAAAGATATATATATATATATATATATATATATATATAAGCGACATCGATTGTGCCTATAATGATGTTGTATAATAGTGTTATTATATATATATATATATATAATGCAATTTTATTACCACAGTAAAATAAACTAATATACTTATTTTTTCCACTATGGAGTTTACTTTATTACATTTTTTAAGTATGAAGTTTGTTAGACATGTATGGGTGTGTGAACGAACAATTGACTTACTATATTTTGACATTCAGAAATGTTCAGTTGAATATAACCAAATGGAAGAAATCAATTTTAACTTAGTTATATTTAGTTGTAAGGAAACGATATTTTGTAAGCATTGGTTTATATTATGTTGTAATATATCAAATTAGGAAGAGCAAGAGAAGCTTCAAGCATCATTGGCGGAGAAAGAGAAAGAAAAGGAGCGTGAAAAAGAAAAAGATGATGCTGATAATAAAGTGAAGAAGGAGGAGAAAGATAGAGGCTCATCTAAGGAACGCAGAAGAGATCGAAGTAGGGATCGTGATAGAGATAGGTATTATCATTAAAAGAAAGGTAACTTTCAAAAAGTGCATAGATATCATGTTACTTATCTTTATTATTTTTTTTAATATAGAAGTAAAAGGAGCAGATCACGTGATCGACATAGGGATCGTGATCGATCGAGTCGTAAGAGAAGATCCGTTTCAAGATCACCGAATAAAAATTCGAAGGATAACGGAAAAGATATGCCCGACGTTAAGATTGAACGAGAAGATTCGCCGCAACCGGAAAATGCTATACCTTTGATGCCAGTTAAAACCAAGCCGTAAATAACAAATCGTATTTATGTGTTGTATTGAAATATATTTTATTTTGTATATTTTAAATTTTATGTTTTTTCTTTATAGGGAAGCCGCAGTAGCAATATCAAGATTGCAAGCCAAATTGATGAGCATTGCTGATGGAAAGAAAAAAAATAATCGTACACCATCGCCGGAATCAGTGGACAAGTCAGCAAGAAAATCGCGATCTGCATCTAAATCGCCAACGAATCGTTCAAAGAAATCTAGAAGTAAGTCGCCTAGCCGAGATTCAAAGACGCGTCGATCACGATCGCCCGCTTCGAAATCAAGACGATCTCGTTCAAAATCAAGATCTAGAAGATCTCGATCTAAATCTAGGAGATCAAAATCGCGCTCGCAGGACCGTACGAAGTCTAAGCGAAGCAAATCCAAATCGCCAAGATCACGATCACGATCGCGATCGCGATCACGATCGCGATCTAAGAAATCCCGATCCAAGAGTGAGGACAGGAGCAAGTCGAGAAAATCAAGATCCGTCTCGAGTGACTCAAGATCATCCAAGTCCCGCTCGAAGTCTACGGAAAAGCTAAAGGTCAATACAGATTCCAATAGAAAACGCAATGGTAGTACGAGCAGCAGCTCTGAATCAGAAGTGGACAAAGATGGAAAGGATAAAAGCGACTTCGAGATACGAAAGAAGAAGGATGGTGTGCAAGCTAAGAGATCCTACAGAAAAACCAACAAAGATGATAGTGGTAGTGATAGCGACTCTAGCCGGGAAAGAAAATCAGCTCCTAAGCGAAGAAGTCCTTCGCCACGTAAAGATAGAGGACGATCTAAGGATAGAGACAGAAATAGATCACGAGATAGATCACGAGATAGATCGCGAGATAGATCACGAGATAGATCACGCGATAGATCACGAGATAGGAATCGAAGGTAAGATTTATAAATCTTTGATGATAAATTTAATCTTCAATTGTAAAAGTTATCTCATTCGTATTTATTCCCGCTCGTTCACTTGATTCAGCTCCAGTTTAACATGACTGAATGAATAATATACAAAGATTATGATGATGTTGATTATTTATGCATTGCCGATTTATAATAGTAATAATACGATTATAATTACATATATAATATATAATATATATAATGTTACTATTAATAAATTATAATGACGATAAAATGACAATTGTATAATTTAATGTTACAGAAAGTAATATACATATATTGTGATTCTATTAACACGTTACATTTCTCTACATTTAATCCTTTTCCCGTTTATTTATTCAACTCCTTTGAAATTCATTGCCAGTTCATACAGGCAATTAAAATAATCATTTTCAATAATCGATTATTATACGGTTAGAATAAAATTAATCTTTGACTGTAGCAAACGAATTATTTGGCTCCGAAGAAAAAATTTTAAATATTGTTGATTATAATATACAATCTGTACGATTGATGCTATGAGATTTTACAGTATATAGATAAAAAAATGTTTAATCTTTCTCCATCAATTGCCATAAAGTGGAATTATTTGCATTATTCTGTACATAATCTTCAAACAGAACACTTAAAAACTTCGGAGCAGCATTTGTAGCTGTAGTTTACGATTAATATCGCGTTCCATGTTCTGTGAGTGCTTCCATATGCTTTTGAAACAAAACTTCGCAATTGTTACAAATAATGATCTTCATAAGGATTTAATACAAGGACGTTACTTTACTGTATACTCGCTTGGAATGGATGATTATTGGATGGTCACAAAAATATCCACGTATAATATATATTATTGTATTTGTCAAATTTTTATATTTTTAAATAAACACGAATGTTAATTATTTTCGCATAAATAAATGTATAAATTCAAGTAATTATTTCGATTATTTTAACAAAAAAATTACGAATGGTATATACGATTTAATCAGATTTTCTTCACGTCGTATGTCTCAGCGTTCCCTCGCGTTTTGTTGAAAATTAAATCTCTTTCTATCTTTCATATATAAGGATTTCCTTTAATTAAATCTCTTGTTTGAATTATACTTAATTATTTAACTGTTCTATGTTAAAGTTATCGAATATCAGTTATACGTAATCTTTCTAAGAAACATGGCCTTGAGGAAATTGTCACTGATACACGTGCTTATTGTATATCGCAATTATATATTTATGGATTTCTTGTCAAAGTTCAATATTTTTCTTAGTGTTTAAATGGATATCATTTGTGATATAACGCAGCAAAATAAGCAATGAAACGTGACATATTCGAATCACGCGTAGTAACTGATGGTCACGTTTTCTATTGACATTATCCTTTGTCAATGAAGTTAAATCTTGGCGAAGATAAAAATTCAAGTATAAATCGAGTATTCTCGAACATAAAGAGGAAAGCAGAAACGAAAACCTTCTATAAAGTGGAAATTGTGACAATGCGAAAGAAATGTAACATGCCTCTTTTATATTGTCTCAATTTTCCTTATAGAAGCTTCATTTATGTTTCTATTATTCTCATCAAATTGTATTCAATGAAGAGTATAGCTTATCGATGTGAATCTTTCCTGCGTGTTGCATAAAGGACCGTTCGTAAAATTCTTTAGAAAGATCTTTATTTCTTTTCTTGATACGGAATGTTTTCTCACATCGATATGTAAAACATCTCAGAATTATGAAATATTTCTCCAATTAGATTTCTTAACCATTTTATGTTAGAGTCAATACACATATGTACATGTAGAATATGCAAAATCTTTTAAAAGAAATATCAGAATAAAACACTCAACAACATATCTCTCTCTCTCTCTCTCTCTCTCTCTCTCTCTCTCTCTCTCTCGATATGTAAAGAAAGAATTGGCAAATGAAAAAAGCCAATTGATGAATCCGACGATTGCGCACTTCGATATTAATCGACTTAAATTTTCTAGTTCATCAGGTGTGAAAATCAATCAATCATAAATCATAGATTCTGTTGAATCTATAATCAAATAGATAATTGAACAATTCTTGTTAAATAATGTTTAAAGGGCATGTCACGCATAGCATTTCATCGAATAATTAATATACGCGATAGTGCAGATATTTAATGTTATCATACATGTACTATACATACATAAATATATGCAATCATTATTACAATTTGATCTGAACATTCACCCGAATTTTTAGCTGCATTCAAAATACTCAAGATAGAATGTAAGAAAAAGAGTGAGGTAATTTTACGCTTTTGCGAGACGGATGGAGAAGAGCAAAAGGAAGGGGTGGTCATTTGTTTGTTGACCCGATTGCAGGTCAAAGTTCCAGTTTCCCGCTGGGCGTGCGTCGTTGAGAAAAGACAGGTTCGTCGCTATGACGACGTGACGTGACGTAACAATCACGTCATCATCGGGGTGGAATAGAAGGTCGACGAACCTCCAGCTTCAACCTGTACAGCGTTCCCTTTAACCATGGCCAACTAGACGCGCATAGCATAGACTGGCATAGACTGGCATAGACGCGACTGGTTGACTAGCACTGATTGTAGGCACAGATCAACAGACGGGGTGAATGAGAATGAGATGCGGCGCGAATCCACTTCTCTGATTCTCTCTCCATTGTTCTCGATTCGATTTACTTGCAGGGATTCTTACTGCTCCGTATACTGTGTCGACGAAACGAATTCATCAACTCGTATGCATTAGGCCCATTAGGGAAATCACATTTAACTTATCATTAAATCATTAATTTATTAGGCACAGCCGAAATTTTGTATCGAAATAATAATCGTTTATGTTAAAGTAAAGATGTAAATATAATGCATGGTATCAAACTACCAAAGTAAACTCATACTATTAAATCTAAACAAAATAATTTAATTTAGAACAAATCCTTTTTCTACGATATCCAGTACATTGTTTAGAAAATCAGTGTGAAAAAATTTGAAAAAATGATTTTGAAAATAACACACGTTATAAATATAGTAATGTACGTATAATTATATTACGTTTAAAATGTCCTGCTGATGTTTACTTTTCTTAATATTAGAATATCTTATATTTTTTAATCTAATATCTGTTACATAAATATCAAAATGAAAAGAAAAAGGAAAAGAAGGAAAAGTATCACACGTAATAATCTATGGTTATATAAACAATCTTAATAATCTTATTTTAATTAATTCGGCCAAGTTAAAATTAACTGACATTCCATTAATAATTTTGTTTCGGATAATCATACGTTTATTATAAAAATTTATATAAATTTTCTCTTGAGAAAAATATTTAATATATTATAATTACATGTTGGTTTGAGAGAAAGTGGTCATTATTGCCGTTTGAGTCGTATATGATATTCTTGCGTGCGACATTCGTGCGGAATTTGGAAAGAATAGCAGTTGGGTCATTGCGATACATATAGTATACGCAACTATTTCACGCACTTACGTTACGTATGTATGTACAAGAGGTGAGATTCAAGAATGACCGCGACAAAGGGTCGAAGGATTAAACCCCGACCGAGTTCGTTCCGCATTGCGCGGCGGAAATGGCGGAATTGCCGCGGCAGGAACTGGGACGCGCGTTGTCAGTGGCCTTCTCAATGACGTGAATGACGTCACTACGCCGCGCCGATGAGGAAACTGGGCCAAAGACATTGCGTAGCGGGAAGAGGAAACGAAGGATCGCCGGCAAACGGACAATTCAAGTTGCAAGCCGCGTTTATCTCTATAGAGAGAAAAGCTGGTAATGTTCGAGCGACCGATCTGTAATATGCTTTTCAGCGCAGCAGCGAAATCGCTCCAGCATCTTATGAGACCATAAGTATTCAGTTTCTGCAGGATAGTACAATATTTTAAGGTTTTCACTGATTCACTGATTCGGGACATATGTCAATTTTCTGTAATTTGAGATAGATACTAATTGAATTTGCGCAGTACCTACACTATAGATTAATTATCGCGAAAGTTATTATCAGTTTTTAATTATTTCGTTCATTGACAGTATCTTCCCATTTGTAGGACGGTAATAACGTGTGTTGTTTGATTTTAACGATGATAGCATCAGCTAACAATAAATAGCCCTGCTATTATTAACAAATTGAATCTATCACAGTCCTGTAATCTTTATTTTAACAATCGATGAAAAGAGAGATTTACGTAAATTACAAGTTGTTGACAAGATGCAAAAATTACACACACACATAATAAAAAAACGGGGATAAATCTTTTAATTACAATTGGAATATAAATATAATAATTTGAATAATTCAAAATTGACAATAGCTTTAGATGTTTAATGTTAAAGAAAAAAAGCGCTATTTTTCTTACAAAGTATTTTTAGACAGTTAAAGATTAATGTTTATAAAGAGAAAAGACAGATGTATGTGTATGTGTGTGTGTGTGTGTGTGTGTGTGTGTGTGTGTGTGTGAGAGATACGCGAAGAATGAACGAGAGGAAGAGAAACTATAGCGGATCATTGAATGAACTATGACATTTCACGGAGGTGGATCATACCTACCGATCTATTTTGTCCCAGACTCGTGAATGGGACTCCTGCGCATCCTGACGTCACACAGAGGTGCAAGCTCCTGCAACTAGGTCAGGCTTCTGTCATGGCCATGGATAAAAACACATACCGTGACTGCAACACGCGCATACATTAAATACTTTAATTCTTTCTTTCTTCCACGCAAGATATCGTCGTTCAATGTTCAACGAACATATGTACGTTATCATATCGTAGACGAATTTAGTCGTACTCTATACAAAGAAACACACACAAGCGTAAACAAATACCTTGCGAATAAAGTTTCGCGCGTTTCATAAATTCAATCTATCAAAATAATATTAAAACCTTGAGAAATAATATACTTATATTATTTTTAATATAGTTATGTTATAATCACTGGTAGAGAGAGAATAAAGGGAAAAACAGATTTTAGAATGAAAAACGTTTATTTGAAACGTAAATGTCGACATAGACAAAATAATACAAAACATTCAGTCCTGAGTGAAGAATCTTTTTATCCTATCTTTCTTATTGTTGCAACACTTTCACACGATTATTCTGCGCGATTACATCTTCATATGTTACATCTACATATACGTACATACATATATGACCCGCGCGACGGAGCGAATATAATTTTGTTCCTTTCGATTTTTTTGCATTTTCGTTTATCAATAACACCTAATCGTACAGACACGCTTGGGGGTATCTACAAGGCACTAGAGATGAATCGCACAGACTTACAATATCTTTACATAGATGAGATTCTCAAGGTACGCGCGCGCGTGCGTGTGTGATGTGTGTGTGTGTGTGTGTGTTGTATGCCATGTCTTTCGTGATCTCTCTTTCTTTTTTCTCTGTTTCACTTTTTTTCTTCATATTTAACATCAGATTTTTCGACTTTTGAAAATTAGTCAGTCTTTGCCAGTTGTGGAAGATTTCATCAACGTACATTCTCATTATATGTTTTTCTTTACTAAATAATAATATTATAATTGCACGATGTATTAATTACATGCTATCAATATACCTGATTAAGCTCTTGCCGCATAATTTGTCATCGCGAAAAAAATAACATATGGTAACTAGTATTAACGGTCATTCACTTTACTTTACATTGTAATTTAATACAAGTTTCCAATAAATTTAAGAGGAAGTATTCTGAGAATATACGTATATTTGAGAACAAAGAGAATTTCAATTAAATTTGAGATTAAATTAAATAATCTAAATAAATTTCAAATATATGTAGATAAATAATATGTATATGGAAAAATAAGATAAAATTTTTAAAAATATTATTTGTGTAAGCCTTCTTTTTACATATTCGATAACACATAATTTGAATTTCTTTAAAAAGTGAAATGGACAACCCATTTCCTTTGATTGTGATTGAAATCAGCTTTGTTCATTAACATCTTGAAAGCTACAAGTGTTGGGAAATTGTAGTGTGTATCGATGACGATATGTATCGCTTACTATTTTCCAAAGATATCCGTCAATGATAATTCTTATAATATGTATCTATATATTTTCTATGTAAATAATACTGATTCTTGAATACCGATTTTAATACATTAATAAAGGATTTTTTTACTTGCGCAACTGATGATTAGCCTCATAAACAATATTTTTACGCTAGCCATTAGTATACTTTATACATATAGACTGATCATAAGGACAATTATATTATCGTAGTACGAGTTATTAAGGGTAGTATCTTTTTGGACCTGGAATAATTTGAACACACTAATTTTCCGCATTGATATAATTGATTTTTATCGCGCGATTAACGAATCACGGCTCTTAGTACCGATAAAAGTACGAGTATACGTTATCATCGTGATTGACAATAATAAATAAACTGAATAAAGAAATAAGAGAAATACAAACGAGAAATAATTATGTATCATTTGCTCGGCTTTTTCTTTTACATTGCATTCGTAGCACTCATTGCACGATTTTACAGCCTTGGAAATTTTGAATGCATTTAAAAATCGTTCTCCAATGTATCACATAGTTTAATGTCTTTTTGCAATATTATTATTGTTGTTATTTTTATTATTACATCATAATTTCTCGTTTCTTATTAAAGAGTTATTTCTATTAAATTCAAATTACCTAGAGTCGAAATTACAATAAAGATAATGGTGGCATGTAAGTATGTAATAAAATCTTACATAAGTTTATTGATGATAAGTTTATAAATGACAATATGAATTAATGTATATTAAACTTATCAGTCTGCACGTTTCTACATCCCAAACATCCTCCATGCGGTTGTAATTAAAGAATATTAGTCAGACTAGAGAAAAGTGTTGAATGATTATAATTCTACATACGTGTGGATATATCGTGACAAATATTTTGGCTTTAATAAACACTCTATATGACAAAGTTTTTAGTTAAAAAGATGTTGTAAAGAGAATATTAGAAATTATCATACAAACGATCCTAAATACACAAAAGATCTTACTGCCTGCATATCCCAATTTAGAAGTAATAATATGATGGAAGATAATAAGATCAAACATACACACACACACACACACACACACATATATACATATGTATGTATAATCTTTTTTTCGTTTCGTAGTACTACTATTTCGTAATTTAATATGCAAATAATTTCTGTGTCCGGTATCAAGGATCATCTGCAGCTAATATAATAATTGTGCATATATTTAATTTAATGTCATCTCTCTTTATATATGTTAATTGTCTTTCTTTTGCCTTTCTTGTCATTCGTTTCGCTGATTCGAGCGAATTCACGTTGAGGCGACGTTACGCTTGACTTATACTACTTAAAAGAGAAGAACCTTGCCTGTCTCGAAAAATGTCCCGACAGTCGAGCAAGTCGTACGTGAAATATAATCGAATAAGAATATCGAGTGAGAAAAAGGAGAGACAAAATCAGGAAAAGCTTAGAAATTACGGATATACCCTATGATTTACGCCGCACGCGAATTCGGCATTTGTAAAGATAACATCGTCGATGATATTAGGAGATATACGTTATCGCGAGCACGATAATCAAAAGGCGACATTTGATTGCGCATTTTATCCTTAATATTTTAGTTCTTAATATTTCCTCTGACAGAGGAATGTATCTTGGTCCTGCGCGTTCAAATACTCCAAAAAAAAAAAAAAAAAATATTCGCCCAGCGATGTGTATAATCGATTAAAGATCTTGGCAGGAGCGTGGCTGTATAGTTTTCTGCTGAAAACCGGAATTTCGGGGAATCCTTTGAGTGGGTAGACCGGATGGTCCTCGGACATATATATAGGGCACCGGGCTACGCAAAATCCTCTTCGGGCTCTTCTTCGCGTGCTTCTTCCCCTTGTTGCTATCATCCCATTTGGATGAGATAATCTTGAGACTTTGAAAGGCCCGTCGTAGAGTCTCCGCTGTGGAGGGCCTTTTGAGAGAGTCGCTATCGCTGCTGCTGTGAGCATCCGAAGGACTGGAGGAATAGGATGAGGGTGAGATACCACCACGAGGTAGACTCCTGACGTCTTCGGAAAGGCTCCAAATTCCGACGATCTCTGCACGCTCCGACGATCTCTGCACGCTAGTGCTAAGCCGCTCCTGCGATCGTGTCGTTCGTCCTCGCAGTCGCTCTGGGTAGCAATGCGTTCTTGGAGAGGACCTACTGGATCTGCATAAACGTTCACCGCTACCACGTCGCGATAGACGTTCGCCGCTTCCGGTACTTCCGCCGCTGCTGCAGCCACTGTCGGTGCTGCACTCATCGTCACCAATCTCACCCACGGGTGGTGTTCTACCTCGATGATGATGATGATGATGATGATGATGATGATGATAACGATGATAATGATGATGATGATAGTGATATTGATGCGTCTGTCGGTGATCGGTCAAATCGATCACTTGCGCGGACTCCTCCATGTCATTTGACAGTTGACTCGTGTCTGTCATTTCAAATCACACAGATTTCTATCCACATAAAACAATGAGATATCTCTCAAAGGACTAGACAGACGCAGCAGATTGCGCAGATTTTGTATATGTGTTTATATCACGTACTTTCCACGCGTGGACTGTGGAAGTGAGTCTCAAAGTCGAGATCGAGATAGACTTTCGTACACAGAAAAGCACTTGTTCTATTCGAATATATTTCCGCAATTCCAAACTATATATTTCTGTTATATTGTTATTACAGCACAATTACGCTATATTATCTTTTTCGATCGATAGATAACTTGATCGCTTCTTCTCCTCGTCAAGATGATTATGCGTCTTACTCACGAGGTTAAACTGAGTCCGATACGCTCGACGCGCGATCTTTTATACCCTCGCAGGTGAACGCGGGGAACACGCGCATGCCCTGTCCGCTGTCGCACCGCGCCGTCCACGTGAAATTGAGAATACGTGTGGTGCCGAGCCGAGGTGCCGAGGATGTCGAGGGGATTAAGAAAAGCTATATGTTGTAGAACCATGCAGAGCGGTAATGGAAATTTGCAGTATTTCTACAGCGGTAATGGAAATACAAACAAGATACGACGAGAGTTCAGTTCTCTGTTCTGAAATTTCGAAAAGAACGTCTACAATCTAAAACATAAGAATAATAACAATAAACACATTGTTTGAGATATATTTGATTTTTTTCGCGATTACATTTTATCTTGTTAATGACTAAATCAGCTTAATTTTGAAAAATAAATATAACATTATATTTTATTTCATGTGTTACGCAAGAAAAATACATAGGCAATACGCAACGTTTAAAAAAAATTTATATTTAAATATTTAATATATATCTGAAATTAATCTTTCATTTAGCAGCTTTAGATGATGTATTATTAAGATGAAAGGATTGAGAAGAATCGCAATAATAATATATCTAATATTTTCTCTCTCGATTAAATTCAAAATTGTTCATTATTAAATATAAACTCTTTCTTTTCATCTTATATATCTTACAAGTCATCAATTGACACTCTTTTGGTGGTATTATTGATTATTCACTATAATTACATCGCATACGATTGTGCAATTTTTAATATTTCATAGCAAGGTTCCGATATCGGATATAATTATAGCGATCAGATAACGATGATCTCGTAACCGAATATCCAAAAATATGTATTTAATTTAATATTCTGAGAACGCTGCATTCTCTTCCTCTCATTCTCTTTCCGACCAATTTTCCCTCTCTCTCTCTCTCCCTCCCTTTCTCCCTCTCTCTCTGTTTCTCTTTCTCTCTCTATAACACAGATCTTGAAAACTAATTCTGCTTCGGTCATTGAACTTACCGATCCATTTCAAGGGGTGGATGTACCTGAAAGAAAATGTATTTTTGAAAATACAATCAATATACAGTGCCCAGGTTCCAGGTAGTATTATTTGATCCTTAATCAAAAACACCTACTACATTATATGCATTAAAGGAGTAGTAAGAAATTAATTGTGATGATCATTTAACAACAAAAACGCGCGCGCGTGTGTGTGTGTGTTACAAATTTATGTTTACATTCTATGATTACATTCTACATATATCTAAATTTCATTTTTTTCTAAGATAATTTATTATCTAAAATCTGGGACTTGGTTAGGTGGCGTGGATGCGAGTGCAAGCTTTGCAGAGAGTGTGTGAGAAAGAATAGGGAATAATAGGCGAGTAATCAGATTAGGGCGTGCGATTTCACGAGAGTGGGCAATAAGGAAGCAGAAGATTGGAGGCAGAGGTAGGCGATAGATAATTTACATAGGAGGCAGGCGAGAGAGCGCGGCGAAAGAGGTCATGGCGGGAAAGGAGCCGGTTGGCACGGCCAGCGGGGGATCAGGTAGAGGAATCAAGACGAAACAGGAAGCGGGGCAAAAAAAATTAACCGAGCGAAAAAAAGTAGCATTCGTGAATATTAAGGAAAAAGGTGAGGCGGATAGGACGAAAGAAGAATTGCGAGAAATTACGGAGAGGAGGATAGAAGATATGAGAAAGGAAATGGCTATGAGAACGGAGCTGGCTAGAAAAAGAAATTAGAGAGATAAAAAAGGAAGTATACAGTTGCATGGAAAGAGAAATCAAAAGTCTGAAGGAGAAATGGGCGAAGCAAATAGAAGAGGCAGAGGTTAGAGTGAGGGGATTGACAGAGAGAGAAAGACAGAGAGTTAGAGGTCAAATTTGAGCAAGAACAGGGAGCAGTAGAGAAGAGAGTAAACAGGAAGAGGCTAGAAGTGGGGTAAATGGCAGAGGAAGGTACAGCACGTATAGTGGCAGGATCGGTTATTAGTGAAGGAGGGCTGAGTTATAGAGAGATCAATATACTGAAAAGATGGGTAACAAATAGCGAAAGAGAAGAAAAGAGACTGAACTTTGTCATAAAAGGGATAAATATAAAGGAAGAATCAAAAGGTAGAGAAAAGTGGCAGAGAAGAAAAGAGAGATATAGGTAAAAGGATGGATAAAGGAAAAGAGGTTGAATGTAATATAGTCGCAGTTAGAGAGAGTAGGAGCGTATATGTAGTTAAGGGAGAAGAGAAAAAAAAGGAAATCATGAAAAAGCATAAGTTAAAAGGGGGGAGAATATTTATCTAAATATAGAATATTCATCTAAAATCTGAAATGCTAGATATAGAATTTGTAAACTGAGAAAATCATATATATATGTGTATATATTAAATAGATCAACAAGAAAAATTTTTATGATATTCTGGTTTAATTATATTACGAAAATGACTATAATAATGTATAATTATACGTGTCGAAATGGAAAGAAACGGATTACTTTAATGTTTTACACATAACCATAACATTCAAGTAATGTACTAATGGCGAATTTGATTAGACGCACCAGTGCGCACTGAGTACGTCCAATTGAATTGCTCATCAGCACGATATTTAAATTACGGTTAATCAATTGACTGATATTCTGACATTGAATAAATTTAATTCACGTGGACAGAAACGTGTAGCGCGATATATATAAACTATTATAAATTGATACTTCCAGCCCGTTTCTGCTGCCAATGTCAATGCCTTTATGTAGAATAGAATCAATAACGTGATAAAGAACATTTGCCTACTATTTATCAATTCTATTAATAATGCTAGAATAATGAAAAAATTTCAATGACAAAAATGTACACTAATATATTATACATATGTATGTATATATGATACACAATTATTAATAAATACATAGTACTTATATATTGTAGTACTTATCATGAAATGTTCCGGAAATGTTCCGTGGATGGAAAGAATGATTCTATATGAAAAAATAAGTTGAAAACGTAAAATAAAATTTTTTCATATACATATAAAAATAAAATGTATCTGAATTTTCAATTTGATCTAATTCTAAAAAATGATCGTTACAAAGTTATAACTCTGGAAGTTGCACTTTATATAACATGTAAATATAACGTGACTTTAATTTATAGATTCTAATTCTTTGGTAAACAGTTGTAATTTCCTCAAATGCAATGTATCCTTAACGTTTGATCATGTGCCGCGATCCAAAATCATATAAATAAGAAAAAGGATATTTTTCATTCACTCTATACGTTTATATTACTATATTGGGATAAAATTCTATTCTAAAATTTTATTCTAAATCTATTCATAAATGTTTTTTCAATAATTAATTTTATATGATGCTAACAACACAATAACAACTTAATGAAAAAATGTATTGTAAGATCTCAGATAAAGAATGAATTAAGCGGACTTAAATTGTCACCTGAATTAACGTGTCATATACAATAATACTATGTTTTGAGAGGTGTGTGTGTGTGTGTGTGTGTGTGTGTGTGTGTGTATAAATAATAGTATTTTTTTCATTCATGCGAAATAGGAAGTAAAATAAATGATAATAAAATAGAACGATGTCTTGTCGATTGTGCGTGCATGTAAATTATAGAAATGCAATTCATTTCCCGTATTTCTCGCATGTTTACTATCACTATCCGGCATAATATATGATTGTGCTTGACGATGACGTCTGCTGGCACTCACGTAACAAAGACCGGTATTATTGTCGGTGACTTACATAACTGAGCATAAGACAAAAACTCGACTGATTACGCAATGCTGTATAACAATGCCAATTGCAAATGTGTAAATAGGCTTTACGGCTTACGGCACAAAGCTCGATTGTCACTTTCTTTCTTACAAGTTGTCCTGTTGCTGTTCTCTCAAAAAGTAGCGATTAACTCCAACTAATTTCCTTATTGCTATGAATTGCTGAATGAATTAATCAACTAGATGGCAAGTCAAAGAGAGCACAATTTTTATTATCCTAGTGGAAGCCATCGATGGAGCATACATAGAATTCAATTGATTCAACCGTTATTCAATTGCATTATGAATTATAATGTCGTTGCGCTTGTCGCAACTCCTAAACACCCTAACATATAAGTACCGTCTCTTCTGATCTAATGTATTTTTGTTTCTTGTTATAAATTATAAACAGTATAATCATAGTTTACTGCACACATAATTGAACGTCAATCTTAAAATTTAATGGTCTGTCTACTTGAGTCGGAAAAAACTGTTTCTTATATGATGCTGTGAGAGGAATTGAATGGAACTCACTGGATATCACTCGACAATGCAAAGTATAACGTTATTAATTAGTTTTAAAGAGTTTAATAAGTTTAATTTCAACTTGAAAAACAAAGTTAAAAAATCTATTGTAATTTTGTGCATTAATATAATTTATTTATCTTAAATAACACGTAATTGATTTATCTTAAATAACGTTTGAATATGTTAACGAACATTTTTAAAAAATTGCTATTTTAATAACAATACTGACGGTGACCTAATTTAAGATCGAAACGTCAATTGTTTTACGTACATAAATTATTGAATAGATACTTTTGCGCATCATTTACATTTGGCTTACATGCTCCTTTATTATAGTTAGTTTTTACTTATTGTTTAGAGAATCACTTTCTTTTATAACTTTGTTATAATAAAATACATTTTATGAGTAACAAACCAGCCATATTTGTCATGTGGCTGTTATGTTATACTGATGTGATAACGTAATGTATTATTACGACTCAAATCTTGATTCGAGAGCTTTCAATAGCGATGACGTGAAATTGCATAAAGAGTGTTACGTTCTAAGAATAGCATGTGGTATTACCTGGACACAATTATGCGTAATATACTTCAGATTAATTAAAACAACAACACGTAACAAAATGCATATATATATATATATATACACAGTATATGTATCTATTATGTATCTACAAAAACGATAAATATACGTAATTCATTATTGTCTTGTTTTAATTCACGACAATTTATGCTATTGTGTAATATTGCATTTTGGAAAATAAAAAAGAAAAATTTTTATGTTTGCATGTAAACTCTCGTTTTAATATTATATCATTTAGATTTTATCGGTTGTCGTCAAATTTTTCTTCTGCATGTTTGCCAAGTAGCAATAACGAAACACACTTTATCGTTAATTGGATACTGGGTCGTTGCTTTGTTATAAAAACAGTTATTAAAACTCTCCGCTTTGTTACGCAATGCTCAGCAGATCCCCGACGATGCGTGTGACATTGATTTCAGTATTACATACAAGTATTAACGTATAACAAAAGTCTCAGATGGCTTAACTTGACATAAACAAATAACTCTTTTTTTACGTTAAAAAAAAATGACAAACAATATACGTGATAACATTTATAAGAAAAATAACCTAAATTTATATGTTTTATAGTTTCTATAGTTTATTTCAATTTTGCAGTTTATGAATATATGCGACATATACACATTTTATGTGCATAATATCTAAACTTTACATTATATAGGGAAGAGTAGAGGAATTGTGAACACGGGGGAAACGTGAACGATACAGTATAATAATTAGAGTAATGATTATAATCTATCAATTCTTGTATCCAGTGTAACGAATAGTGTACAGTTCAATGTACATCGGTGCCGCACACTATGATTACGCGCGGTTCACTTGATACTACAAATGCTTCGAAGCATTCTTTGATTGGTCAATTAATAAAATTCTTTCTTCTGATCAATTAAAAACTTGGCACTTTTAAGATAAATTATATATAAATCATTATATATAATTTTGATGATTTTGACGTAATTAATTTTATTAATTAGTTTTATATGTTGCAAATGCCAGTTAGTATATGCCTGAAGAATAATGCTCGTTGAACAATATAAATGAAGTGATTATTCGAGTTGTGACTACTCCTACGCTTTATCCTTATGTAATCAGACTTATAACATAGTAACATGACGCGTAATAGCCTTTTTGCAACGGATTACTACTAACGAGTAAGGACAGGTGTATATCGCGCTAAAGATGACTTTATTTCATAACGGTTACAATAATCACAAAGAATTATAACATCGCTTAATCGTGTTTTTCGTTAACCTTTTGTCTAAATTGATTAATTTATGTGAAATTAAATAATACAAAGGTTTTTTGTACGTTAATGAAAAATTATTCTCAAAATTATAATAACATTACTGTTCAAATCTATTTTACAGCAGCTAATTTAATTTTCTATTGATCTTTATACTTTTACTTATGGTTAATTTAAAATTTCGATATGATAAATGATATTGAGCTTTGGAAGATTTTATTTTCAACGCGAGAGAGAGCCATAATGTGTGTGTGTGTGTGTGTGTGTGTGTGTGTGTGTGTTTTCATCGATCGCCAAAGAGATTGATTGCAAAGAAACTACTCACGTATACATGTATAACACTCGAAATTATCTTAGAATGTAGTGTCCCTTCGTGTAAGGAATATAATTGTAATTAATATGTGTTATTATGTATAAATAATGCTCGCCAAATATGTAAATAATATTATATGTGATTTAATTACATATTATTATATGTAAAAATCTTGAATATATAAATTGTATAATTTTATAGGTGATGATATTTAGTTAGACGAGATGACAATTAAGAGAGAAAAATAAATTATTAAGATTCTTATGTTTTGCTTATGTTGCTTTCAATGTCATGTTATCATTCTTTATATCTATTAATTATTATACACATTTTAATTACATCTTTTAAAATATCAAACTTTCAACCCGATTTATTAATTTATCACTATATTTATGGTTTCTCTCTCTCTCTCTCTCTCTCTCTCTCTCTGTCTCTTTTTCTTTCTTTCTATGTAAGTTACATTCGATATAGATTTATTCGAATCTATTCAACTCCATCCCACGCCAAGAGGCATCTCAAAGTAATACATTGATATAACCTACATTTAACATGTCTGTAATGATGTGTTGGTTTGCACGTCATCGATGATTCTTTCGAGATACGTATGCATTGTGCATATGTATTTGAAGGCATTGCGTCAATTCACATTTACGACTGAATGAAAGAGTAAACCATGTAATTTTCTAATACTTATTTCGCACACATTACATCTTAAATATTAAAAAATATTTTATTTTATTCAAAGAATTGATCAAAGAAGGATATTCTTGGAATAATTTTGATACTTCTGAGATAGTATACATATATATATATATATATATATGTGTATGTGTGTATATATATATATATTATAATACAGATTCAAAGATTCTTTGATATATCCGTATAATAATATAATAAATAAATGTATCTCAAGTCCAATGTGAATTTCGACTTGTCGTGCACAATTGAACGATCCTTTTATATACAATATAAGTATAAAATAATCTAAGTAAATCGGGGTGGGATGTGATGGAATAAAAAAACATTCATACAATTGCTTTTAAGCGGCTTTATTGATTCTGGGTCTAATGGAATGTAAACGCGGAATTATTCGAACGAATGAGAAAGGGATGAAGAGAATGAAACCGCGGAGAAACACAAATCCGTGGTTAATTTTTGAAAAAGATTTCGTAGGCGTTGATCATTGATCGATCGATCGATTTGTGAAGTGTGTCGATGGAAATTGGTCCTTAATCTCCTGAATGCTCGGTCCTCCGGTGTTTAGACGATTAGGCCAGTCGCGTAACTCTTATACGCGTACGGTAAGGCCGGGTATGCCGAGTACGCGCTGTAAGTCGGTAGGCTGTATGCGTTGTAAGCTAACGGTGCGGAAACGATGGGAGCACTGTAGGATGTCACAAGCGGAGCGCCGATAATCGCCCCGGGTGCCGGTGCCGGTGCTGGCGCGGGCGCCGGTGCGGGTGCAGCCGCGGCGAATGCCAAAAAGGCCGACAAACACAACTGCAAACCAGTAACAATGACATTCAAGTAACGTTACGATATTGTTGCAGGTAGTAGTACGACACTGAGTGTGTGAATGATAATAATAAGGTACATAATAAGGTACATTTACTGACTCTCTCTCTCTCTCTCTCTCTCATTTTAGAATTAATTTCAAGTATCTTTCTCGGAGATGGAAATGAATTTGCAATAGTTCCGTAAAAATTGCAAATGTATGAAGCAAAAATTATTCATATCAAGTGAGAATTAAAAATGTGTAATATGAATTCTATATTTGTGCAATAAATCGAATTTTCTATGAAAAATTCACGTACGTATTTCGATCCAGCTATGAATCGAAAAATAATATGATGCGAATAAGAAAATATATGAATATATAATGCAAATAATTTTTCTAGAAATTAATAGTCCGATCAATGTTCCAGTAATCGATAGAAAATAACAAATACGAATATGTGAACATACACAAATTTAACATGTGCACTAACGCGTTTCATATATCTGCTTTGTAACTTTTTCACTTGCTCAGTCATTATCTATAATTAATTCTGCCATATTTTTCATCAGGACAATTAAAAATAGGACAATATTGACCAGATTATTTATCTCTCTCTTATTTATCGTTAATCCTAGAGACACTATAAGATGCAATTAGATATTATAAGACTTGCAACTAAATACACATGATGCACCCTGTAGTCTGCAGTGTAGTATACGTATAATAATTGAAATTATAACGATCTTCTCGATAGAGAAACAAACGTAATAATCGCAAAATAAATAAATAAACGGATATATAATACTATATATAGATATAAATCTCGCTGAAATCTTAATTGACTTACCAGTTTGAACATCTTGAAGCTCGTATATGTCTGGCTTGCAGTCAGTACGATAATACTCGAAAATACGACATATCTCGTCTTATATAGGAGCAAGCAATCCCTCGGCCTCCACCTCCCTTCTCTCTTTTGCGTTTTCTTAACGCACCTTCGAAGAGGGCGTCGCCTTGTCTCAAGCAGAAAACGAACGTGCGCTAGGCAGCGATTTCTTCTTTTTCCGTTTCTTCCTTCAGTCGCGGATGTCGACAACCAATGGAGCTTTGTTGCGCGGACATACATTAATATGGGGGGTAGGGACGCACGTGATGATTCTTCAAGGTCCTCCATGACGGCCAGGCGTGGTCAGACTACTCTCCTTTTCTGTCTCGGATGCCAAAGGGAGCCAAATATACGCTACAACAGCTTCTCAACAAACAAACCTGTTATACATATGTCGCAAAAAGTCGCTACCTGAGGTGAGCTCATCTATGGTAAGTGATTAACTGGTGATAGCAATTTTTAATTAGATCAAATTTATAATGAATTTTCTATTTTATAAATAAATCTGTATATTAAATTTCATCACTCTCTCTCTACGAATAGATATCTCTTCTGAAAGAAAGAATTACACGGATTATACGATTAAAATATTTATATAATTTTATTTAATTAATAAAATTCTTTACTAATTCTTTACTGTCTATGTATAACAGATTTAAGAACTCTGCTAGTGTAATTGTAACAAGTATTAAAGATACGTATAAAAGTTTCGAATCTTAGAAATCGACAAGTTTCACGTAACGTACCATTTTATTATTGCACGCTTATTAATCTGTTTATCTGTTTATTTTAGGTTTAATTCATTGCGAAAAATATTTCTCCAAGTAATGGTAATATATTGGTTAACATATCTAAAGATAACATTATATATTATAATTTGCATATTATTATTTGACATTATTAACAAGACATTATTAACAATAAGATAACCGTTATCTTACTTTTATGTATTTACATATTTACTCTTATCGAGCATTTTTTTCCTATTCATCGATGGAAGGGACCTTTAAAAATTATTTTGTGACTTGATTAACGGTAGGACTCGTAGAAGAGTAATTTCACGTACATTTACGCCTACATATGGATTTGATCGCTTCAGAGAAGCGGTCTTGCTTTGAGCCTTTGGCCGTTTCCCTA